TATTTAAAGGAAGCAATAGGGACCACGCATATCATGTTTTTGGTGGAAAAAAGAGCCATGTGAAAATTTAAGGTTAGTTGGAGTTTTGTAGAGAGGTGGACTACGTAGATTCGTCTTGTGCAGGATCCTCATCCTTATCATCTTCTTGCGTTTGAAAAGTAAATAAATGGGGAGCTCTAATAATGTTGAATCCACTGTGTCCACTCAATTAATTACTAAAGCAGATAAGTCCCAAGAAGAGTCCCAGAAACTTGAATTCTTCCACAAGTACTTCCAAATTCAGTCCTCTCATAAATATAACAGCAGATAGCAACAATCAAGGTTAGCCATCACCCTCATGAGTCTTAGTCTTCCACTTTCAAAAGCAAATACAGAATTATTAATGGAACGTGCTCATTTGAACCTTCATATTCCTTCCTCCTTCCTCGATGCTTCCTATATATATTTTCCAAGTTTGTGACCATGATGCTCACCTCTCACATGAAAAGTACATGAATAACTTTTAGTACTTGTACTCTGACACTATGGGTATCCCTATTTTCTTGTACATCATATTAGATAAAAGTATATTGTTATATATGCTCCAAAAGATTACCTGAAGTTTATACATTTGGTAAGCATGCCATTCGTACCATTTAAAGGAAAGAGTTCAAATCTACCATCAATGCCAAGACATTGTCCATAGATAATTGGGAAAATCATTCTTGAGTTACCTGTAATTTTCTTCACTAATTTGGTGCTTGTACTGCGTGTATGTGTGTGCGCGTGTGTTTTTTAACTTATTAAATCTTTTGATTTTATCATTTTAGCTGCTAACTTCTGTAAAAAAATTATTTTCCGTTTCCGCATACATAATTAAAGCAAGGCCTCTATATTTAATTTTAATATTTTTCATATTTTTACTAAGTTACTAGATTTTTTCCCTATATGATGATTCTGATTTTGCCCTTGCTTGAAATATTGTTAACTGGTGTCCAACCCACATAATATAAGCCTTCATAGACAATGGATTGAAGCCTTTATTTAATTCTTTGACCATAACTTGTAAGATAAAAGCATATCCTGACAATTAAAAGTCTAAAGTTGTTCCTCCGTTATTGCTATCAAAAAGTAGATGAGAAAAATGAAATGAGCAACAGCGACATATTATACTGCAGTTTAGAATATATTTGATGGACTTTAGCTCGACTACAATTTTGCAATCAAGAGAAATATATGTACAATCATGAAGTGAGAGAGGATATATATAAATACCTCAATAGGCCAGTGAATTCTCAAGACTCATACTACATAAGTACATTAATTACAAGAAGAGATCCATGACTCAGTAATGACAGCCACTTAATTATTTTCCTAGTAAAGCATATGTCTACTAGGCTGAAAAAGATTCCTACATAAGTAGGTTGAATAAACTATATCAGACCAGAGTGGAAATTGCAGAAATGCAAACAAGGGTATAGGTATAAAAGCAAGTGCAGAAATGAAGTAAGGAACCCACTTTAAACCATGACAATACATGATGAAAAAGGCACTACTAAATGCTATCATCATGCTTATTATGGAGATGAACAAAGCAACCAATCCACATATGAGCTTCAAGGGTAATGACTTGTGAAAATTATCTTCTGTATAACGTGAGAGGAGGATGGATAAGAAGATAAATATGGAGGTTGAGGATGAGATCATTGCAGCCCATCAGATATGGCAAAGATTAGAAACGATGGTTTCTTCAGTAATTCGGGTTTCCTGAACTGTCATTGATTCCCGCCTGGTATACTGAATGCAGCTGTAAACACTCCAGAGCAATAAGAGTGGAAACAAGCATGCATGATTCTGCGGTTTTCTTCATCCATGATCTGCTTCTTTTAGCAAGCCTTTGTGCTCCTCTGTGAATAGTTGCCGAGGAGTCAAGCCTTCTGCATTCTTCATCTCTATATATGATGGTAAACATTATCTTCTTCACCTCCTTCCAAGTCAAAATATAATATGCTATCAATATCAATATAAAATATATAAAATTTATAACAAATTGCACTATTATCACAAGTCGTTGTTTATTTTCTACAATATACAAGAGGCACCAAAAGTAATAAGTACTTATGTAATCCATCTTATAAGATAGACTCAAATATTGTTTTATAGCATATTACAGTACCTCGAACCATCGTAATTCAAGGGTCATTTGGAAAGCTGCTCCAGAAACTAAGTTAATCGATCTGATGGTGCCAATCTTGCGCCATATGCAATAAGTTGCCTTTATCTTCAGTATCCTCAAAACATACTATGAAATCTTTGATTGGGCCAATATCATGTATGAGATTGAAGATATCAGCATAAACGGTGCAAAACTGCAATATGAATTATGCTTCGATTTTTTTCATCAACTTCCCATATTAAATCAGGATAGGTACTTATAAGCTCAGCTAGAAACTCAAAATTTCCAACTTCTACGGCATTAAATATTACTGGCGAAGGTTCTCTTATGTTGCCCATAATCACTGCATCATCTTGTTTAAGGAATATACTCCACAAGTATTTTACTAGTTGAAGTTGTTGAGTTTGCCTAAAACCTGTGAAACACAATTTGATCGTCAAAACACAATTTATATGTATCGTAAAACCACTATGTCATAATTATATATCATCTGTAATTTGTGATCATGGACACTTACAGGACTTCATGAGCCGCTTTCTATATCGCTGACTTTGGCAAATAGAACTTAAAGGCTTTCGAGCCAATATATGCAATATTGTCTCATTGGTTGAATCATCTCGCTCAAAAGCTAGATCTTCATTCATCTCTAGACACTTCGAGGCTAAATCTGCAAAAAATGAATACGTAAAATAAGTATATATATGATTGATACATGTTGGACACAAGGTATGTATGCACACTTCAAATTTTATAGTCTCGTCTTTTGTTTATGCTTGTGTAATATCCTTACCGTAGATTTCATTGTTGACACAGCAGAAGAGCAGTACTATCCAATCAGTATGATCATGAAAAGCCCGAATAGTTTCTGCATAAAGATGCCAAGCCATGTCCCTTTGTCCTTGTAAAGCCGCCATATGAAGAGCAGTGGTTCCTTGACCTCCCCTTATCAGTGGCAAGTCTTTGTTTTTTCTCTTCATGATCTCAACAATCTCCAGATTCCCAGTTGCTGCAGCGATGCTGAACGCAGTGTTCCCAGTCGCATCTTGCAATTCCAAGTCTTCTGGGTTCATTTCCTTCACTAGCTCATCCACAAAGTGAACATGATTCGCTCCGGCAGCCACATGGAGTACCGTCGACCACCCCCTGGTTATGGCAGCACAAGCTAGACTCCGGTCTTGATCTAAGATATTCTTTGCTACTTTCCAATCACCTTTCAGTGCTGCTTTGTGAAGGGGAACACAAAACCTTAGGTATTTATCTCTTCGTTCCTCTGAAACAAGTTAATCAACGGAAACATTGTTATATAGATTGTAATATAAATGGAAGCAAATTAGAGAGAGAGAGAGAGATCATACGTGTGTGATCTATAAGATTAAGGTTAGGCCTTCTAAACTGAGCTGAAGCAACCCTCTGAAGTTCTTGCGCTTGTATAGTCACAGAACTCTCATCTGCTACGGCCATTTCTCTGTCAAGAAAGCACAGTATGTCTGTGTTCAAAAATTAATTTGCCTCTAAAACTAACGTTGGAGGATAACCTTGGTTATGTTATGCTTGGAGCTACTTATGGCATGTAAGGAACAAAACGCTTTTGACTGCTATCAAGGATTGGCTAATGAAGTTTTGGCTCTGTGACACTCTTGAACCATAAAGCTAACAACTAGTTCGCTTCTCCTATTTATCGTATAGGTGCCTCAAACATCTTTTTGTGAACCAAGAGATGCCTTTTTGTAATTCTTTTGACCAATGATATCAGACCTTTATCTCAAAAATAAAAATAGTTTGCATTTTTGTGTATATATACGAGTCTTCTAGATTGTTCTGATTTATAAATTAATTAAATATATACTTCCTCAAAACTAAAAAAAAATAGACTTATTAAGTAGGAGCTTCTTAAAATTCAAAATTACTCTAGAATGTAACTAAAAAGTGATTAAAAATAATGATTTTATTATTCTTCACACAAAATGGACAATATAGAGAAAAAAAGTAAGAAATAGAGTGTAATTAAAAAGTTTCTATAAAATATTTCCTTGGTACAACGTCAAATAAAGAGAGGAGGCCTACCAGAGCCTGATCAATGGTTATGCCATGACGTCAGCATGCTAACATCATACACTCCAAGAAGAGTGGATCGCTGTTGGCGTGCTGTCTAAAATTAATGTTCAATTGGGAAAAAAAAATTATATTTTATATTAAGAAGAAATAAATTGTCTATAAATAAAATAATACTCCCCCTTATGAAATTAATTAAAACCTCGTGAATGAAAACAGCGGGAGGAGAGAGGCTATACAAGCAGATAATAATTCAGAAGCTGGAACTTACTTTTGAGACTCTCTCTCTAACTTATCAACATGACCGGGAAGAATGAAGAAGAAGAGGATAGGATAGTAAATTTACGTGTGGATCCTGTGTGTGGGCAAGCACAAGCAAAAACTCCTCTGTCTCTCTAGTGATTCAACCTCGAACGAGTTCGCCATCTAATTCCCACCTGATTCTAAACACAAACACACAGATTCACCAAACTTCAGATTAAAACATTATCACCACTCTATAATCTCTCTCTCTCTCTCTCTCTCTCTGTGAAACACACAAACTAGCCAACGCATCAGAAAGAAATTGCAAGGAGTGAACACTGAAAGCAAGTTCAGAAAAGCTTCAGAGTTTTAGATCATTCACCTTCTTCTAATTGGACTGAGTTAAAATAATAACAGTAACGTGAGAAACAAGAAGCTTGGTTATTTCCACAGAGAGAGAGATGGTAAGAAGACGATATGAAAGAGAGAGAGAGAGAGATTGGAATAAATTACCTGAAAGCAGGGGAGTGGTGATGGATCTGAAGGCCGTCTGGTTCGTCAAAGAAGGTGGAAGGAAGCAAATATAAGAATCAATCATGAAAGAAACTGCAGAAACCACCCCATCAACTCTGTAAAGTCCTACCACTATGTGTTAAATTATTAGAGTACGGCCACAGTCATTTGGCTTTACTGCTTATTTTCCTATAATAGCAACAACTTTGTGAAGAACAATATTAAATGTCTCTTCCTTTTATTATTAAACCACCCAGTATGCATCCTGATCCGTCTTACTTTTAACTAATTGGAGTTCAACCAAATTCGGATTGATAGTGTTTGGTATGCCCGGAATCACTTTTAAAAAAACATATTTTTACACAAGTGTAAATAAAATCTTCTCATTTTTATTTTATATATCATAAAATTATTTTTAAAAATATAATTTAGTTTTTATCCAAATATTCCTGAGTTAAATGATATCATTTGGGCAATAAAACTCTCTCTTCAAATATTTATGATAATAGTATAAGATTTTGTTGATAATTTATAAGTAAGACCTTATAATTAAAAGGAAAAGTATACTAAAAACTAAATCCTTCCACAAACCACAGGAGACATGGAAGTGAAATGCAGCGAAGCTTCAGAAAAAGGCATGGGAAACGACAAATGGGGTAGGGGCTGCTTTCGCTCTCCTTACTTGACCTTCGCGGAAGAGGATCCTCTCAGCGTCCTCTCCCCTCGGCGTCCGAATCCCAGCCGTGGAAATTAATCTAACAACTCAAATTGAGCCACATGATGACGCTATTGAAAATTAGAAATAAATCTTAATCATGGTATAAAATTTTTTACCAGCTCTAAACTAAAGATTATTCTAGCATGAAATATCCGGTTTTTCTCATCTGCCTCATTTTAACTAGAGGATTTATGAGAAGTCCAAACTCCAAACTTCGAGATGACTATAAAAGATGAAAAAACTTAATCACAAAATATTTGTATATATAATTTTTTGGATTTATTACAGTTAAATCTAATATAGATCGAGTTAGACAGGACATAAAGAGTTGTAAAATAATACCAAATATTTTTTTAAAAAAATTTTTAATTAAAATACTTGAAGGCAGAACTTCGCCTCTCTATATGGTTCTATTTGGCTCAATTTATATCAGCTGGATTCCTGATAATTAAACTTTACAGCTCAAATAAGTAGATTCAAGAAATTAGGTGTTTCACTCTGAAAAAAATTTGAAACAAGTTGTTTAAAGCTACTCAAAATTTTTATAGCATCAGTTGGATTTATATTTAATTTTTAATAGCAGGATGATGTGGCATATTATGAGCTCTTAAATTAATCTGACGGACCATATTAGAACGCTTGGAGACGCTGAGGGATGCTGCCGCGGAGAGTGCGGAACTTTGTTCTTTTTTCCTTTTTTTTTTTTTTTTTTTTTTTTTGGCGGACTTTGTTCTTTTGGAGGATGTGATATTTCAACCGTGCTCATCCGATGACCATCCCAAAGCTTATCATTAAAAATTAGCCATCACAATTAAGCATCTTTTTTTTTTCTTTTAGTTTTTTTAATAAGTTGATATATAGGAAAAATGAGGTCTACAGTTATACAATTATATCATAAGAGGAAAAAAAAGAGACAAAATAGCAATAATTTCATAACTGCAGGATTTTGGGATGTCTATTTTAAGTATTGACTGAAAAAAAATTAAAGAAGAAAAGAGGCTGTGTATTATCATTTTAAATATTATCATTTCATTTATGAGTCATTTTCAATATGATTTATTAAAATTAAAGAAAATCTTAAAATTTATTGTCTCTCCCTCTCTCTAAAAATTTAATAATTTTTCAATTTTACCTTGTTAAATATGCATATTTTAAATAGGATACCAAAATCTTAGAAACACCCACCAACATTTCATGTGGTATAGAATAACAAATTTGTGAACAAAAAATAATGATGTGTCTTATAATTATTACAAAAATTCCTTCTGTCTCTATCTTATAAATAAGATCAAGAGATTATGTACATATATTAATTGCTTATAAATTTTATTCGCTCAATGATAATATTAACTTTTTCCATGAACACCGATTATGTGAATATATCAAACTTTGAATAAATTTAATAACTTATTGGAGTGGTGTTGGTTGTGTGTGTTATTAAAAAAAATAATGCATTTTCTCAAGTAGTATAATTTAAAAAACTAAAAACATATAGTCCACTCATCTAGAAGATAGAGTAAATGTTTAAAGTCTATATGGTAGTCAACGGGAATAGAAGTGAGATGGTGATGTTTTTTGTCAATTAGGAGAATAATTATGTGCGTGTGAAACGATTGGACCAAAAATCAAGACAATTTGCTCCTGCCTTTGAATTTTGGAAATAAAAAATAATATACTCTTTTCTCCCTCAATGTAAGACTCAAATATATTTTATCTCCTAAATTTATATTTTTTTCTTAAACTCTTTTATTAATTGGGTGTATTGAGTTTTCATAAGTGAGTAATTTGTATTTCAAAAAAAGGGACCTCTTACAATTATGAGATAAATTAAATTAAAATAAAAATAATAGGATGATAATATGTACTGAAGAGCCTATATGTATTATTCTCTCGTTTTCCATATTGAATACACTACGTACGACTCTCTCCGTGATGCGTTTTTCACTTATTTTTCGTTATCTCGTAGATATAAATTGTCAAATCTTCAACAAATGGTTTAGATTTTATTTTTTTTAACACAGTTTAATGAAAAGTAACGGTGATCAAACTCATTTCCACCTTAAACAAAAATAACATAAATGATATGTGAACTTGCTAACTTAATTCAATGTATTTAGTCAACTAACAGTTAATGTTAACTTGAATAATGGCCAGAACAAATTTATTATAATTTAAAAACTTTTAGTATGATATTGAACCCACAAAACCTAATATTTTTTAGTGACAATTTTTGAAACAAATTTCTACCGTAGCCCTCGATTCTAAACATTTTTGTGAATAAAATGTGCCCTCTACTTCCGTTCTGAATTCATAAAAATAGCAATTCGAAATCATTGATGTTGCGTCGGTCGAAGTTGCCGAAAAGCACATGTTAATTAAAAATAAAACCCACCAAAAAGAGAGTAACATTTTTCACAAAAAAATAAAAACAGTGTATTGTGGTCCGCATTCCCCAATGACCTTTGTATCAATTTTTATTTTTTTTTTCCTGCCAGCCCCAAGCCCCCAACGACCAACGTAAGGTCACTTTTTGGGGTATGCTCCTAATTCAGTGAGTTTAACTAATTTAATCAAGGGAAAATCACAAAAAAAGACCCTTGAATTACCATAATCATGAAAAAACACACTTAAATAAGCTAAATTACTTGGGGAGATCTGGGCTTAAATTAAAATTATGAAATATTAGAGAAAAGACCAAAATGTCCTTTTTCTCGTATCCTCTTCCTTCCAAAATATATCCCTGTATGCTTTCATCACTTCTTATGGTTTCTCATTTTGGTCTTGTGGCTAAGGATACACCACTACCTGCCATCGTCTCCTCTTCTCCCTCTAACCATATCCATCACAAAAGGACACAAAAGCACCACCAGCGCATCGCAAAGGTTTCGATTCTAGTGGTGATCTGAACATCGACGGGTTGGCAAGGAAAGAAAGCTAGAAAGAAGAAGCACAAAAGAAATGTTTCTTCAAGATGGGAGATTGATGTGGTGAGGATAACTCAGAGGGGTATTATTTTTTTCTCCACATTCTGATTCATCCTTTTTCTGTTTCTTCTTCTCCCTTCTTTCATCCACTTTTTTATGGTATCAGCTATAAATAATTAATTGGTTTCTTTGCTATTTCTATTCTCATATTGTATGGGTTTTGGATTTGATAATCTTACCATGGCATATCAATTTAATATCTAGGGGACTTTTTCAAAGAACAAATAACAATAAGAAAGAAACCCTTTTCAATAATAAAGGAAGTTTTTTAGAGGCATGGCGCCACAACCTTGGATATTATATGTTGATTCAATGCTAGTACTAGTGTTTAAACATTTGACATAAGAACAACAATACAAGTCATCTCTTTTATTAGGGGCATTTATCTTAGCAAACTCAAGAAACCTTTCAACTCCATCCTGATATTCTTTGCTAATTCTCTTAGCTTTCATCCAACTACAATCCATTGTTTTACAAAGTCAATGAGCATGGTTATATTGTTAAGCTCAATTCTAACTACTTAATTCAAATATTCAAATAAATAAAATAATTAAGTGTTAGTCAATAAATTAAGATTGACTAACACTTAATTACAAATTAAAGGAAATGTCTTTTTTATTTGATAAAAATTTCGACAGAATTTCTCCTTAAATATAACGAATCCCAAATTATTTAAATAATAGTCAAATCAATCAATTAACAAACCAACAATATAATAAACAAATACAAGATAAATTTGAACAACTATAACTAATAAAACAAAAGTAATTATCTCAAACCAATTCAATGAATAAAAATTCTTAAAGCTAAAAATTCTGAATCTAAAATAGGAACACAAATTATATCCATTTGTCATGAAATTTTAAGCAATACTTTATCATCAATCAAAGTTCAAAAGAAAAAAAATTGGCCCAAACACCAACAAATTATTTATTGATAAATTATCAAAGTTTATTATGAAAATTTGACAAAAATTCAAAATAAA